TGAAGCATGCAGACCTAACAAGTACGTGAGAATGTGATGAAGGGGCTGTAATGCAGTAATTGTCTTAACCCTTAGGATTTTTTCTCGTGGTGGTAGATTAGTGTGGTGTGTATGGTAAAATATCAGTTGATTTATGACGTGGCGTTGTAGGCGTTGTATTAGGTATATGTATAAACTTCCACTTCATTGAATACGTAGAAAAATTACATAAAAAAAATCCATGCTCCACACTAGGGTCTTCTCCTGTATCGTGGGTGCGTTTATAAACATACAAGTTCACATACACATGACACCCAGACCCGGAACATCAATCTGTGGATCACACAAAGAGTTGTTCCGTGCGGGAATCGAAACCGTGACACGTTGTGCGGAAGCCGGTTGCCCAGCCACCGCACCAACCGTGCTGTCAAAAATTATAAGGTACAAAACGGGTTTTGCTAAAATTAACGTTTTGATGTCCATTTCTTTTGTACTAAGTTAAAGTATGTTATATTATTTTAAGAAAGGTCAGTTTTAAAGTTAACGGATGGGGAAAGTTATTCCTAACTTCTGTTGCGCTTAACTTTTCTATGGGAACATAGGTAAGGACAAAATACTGTTGGTTTCGTCTAGACATCTCATTTTCTGCTAGAATACTTTCCGAATAGATTAAGCGTGATCGACTCATACAATGAGTAATAATAATGAAATTATAATGTAAACAAAATAATCTACTTATAGTTGCTAGGGCGCGAGAAAAAATATTCTAGTCATAAATTCAAGTTTCTGTTGTTTGCAAAAAATAATGTCTCATAGCGTGTTTAAGATTGAAGGTTTAGTTAAGATGAGTCACAAAACTCAGACCTTTTTTCTTAGAAAACATAAAAAGTGCAAAGCACGCACTGTGGTTTAAATACCGTAGAACTGAGCTCACGTTTATAAATCGTGATTATAAACTATAACTGCTTATTATATTAGCGGTTCGTTCTGACGTCGACACGAAATTGCCAGACAAAGCCGAAGGCGATGACCAAGCGAGCGAATCAGACCATTTTGTTCGAAAGAGAAATAAAAAGTTGCCATTCCATATTCAACTAAAAGAGAATAAAGTCTTCGTTGTCTTAAACTTTTTTGAAAGTTATTCGCTGTTCGTCTCTCGCGTCCGGGCCTAGTGCAGGCCATGATGCGGAGCGAGGGGGATTGGGTTGCCGTCTCCTCCTTTTGCGAAGCAGTCATGCTAGCTAAGGAGGAGGCGGGACGCGTGAGGCAGCGAAGCGCTGCCTCCTCGCAACCCAGCCATCGCGAAGGACACACCGGGCGTCGGGGATCGCGGGACGATCTCCGGCCACCGTAAGCGCGGGCCTGCGGACGGCGAGCATGGGTGGCTCCCCGTCCGACCAGAAACAGACCCGAGCGTACGGCGCGTCGCGTTCCGCGCGCGCCTCAAAGAGCCATCAGACCACCACAGATGGGGCCCAATAGGGCCGATGCCGATTCGGAGTCGCGGAGAACCTAACGGGTAACCGGGGCTCCGGCTCGACGTGCAGGAGAAGGAACGGGGTGGTTTTTAGTCAGTAAGAGTCTGACACTCCCTCCCGCCTCACCCAGGCGGGGGCAGTCATTCGATGATTTTCCCCCCTTAAAAAAAAAAAAACATACTTACATATTCAGTAGTTTATACAGTTTGAACTTGAATTTGCGTTTTTTAGCAATCATTAATCGAACAAAAAATTGGCTTGTAGGTGTATTCGATTGATCATTGTTTGGTTTTTGTTAATTACTTGTGTAGTAACCGACAAGGTTGATTAACAAAAAATGTTCGACGCTATTTACAAATGCTGAATTGCTGATCTTCAATTAAATTGGTAGATTGGGTTACTAAAGAGGGAATTTTGATGTATAAATAACATAACATCCTTAACATCACGCCTTTTATCCTCGAAGGGGTAGGCAGAATTGCACATTATGCCACTTTATTGTGTAACACCCACTTTTCATTATTTATGTTATGAGTACCATGTAATAAGGGGTTAGCCTATTGCCATATACCGGGCACAATTCCAGGCTCCGTGCTACTACTAAGATTTTTTTAAAAGATCCAGTAATACTTTGCCCGACCCGGGAATCGAACCCGAGACCCCTTGCCCGGCAGTCCCGTTTTGATAAATAAACACTTTAATAAAAGAATACAACGGTTATAAAAGCCGTATGAAAGCGGGGTTGGATATTGGATATATGTATATTGCATTTTCCACTTTCCGTTAATAATTTATTGTAAGCGTTTACCGTCTGTTGTTTACCTACTTAGTTCCCAGCAATCTAACTTGTTGTTTTAATTACAACTTGCACGAAATGTTTTATATAAAGCACAACATTGAGTGCAAAAAGATACAACATTACTATGCAAGTAAGTAATCTTTTTAAATGACGAAAATTGGCACTTACGTCCTTCTGCGCGTAAAGTGTAAACTAATAAGGAGTGTCATTCACATCCAATTTTTTATTCACAATTTAGTTTAAGTAATTCGTGTTGGAAATAATACATTATCCACTTACATGGTAATTTTACTGTAGTAAAAAAGATAATGATCGCTGACCCGGTAATTTTCGAATGTCGTTAGTGAGCAGTAAGCACTAGAGTGCTATCAATAACAAATGTACAAAAGGAATTAGGTATACCATTTGTTTTACGTCATCGAAGTACGGTAATGAGTGAATTTAGGGATGAGAGAAATCGCGAGATGTTTTTTTTTGGGGGGGGGGGGGGTGGCATCGAATGACTCTCCCGCGAGGCGAGAGGGAGTGTCAGACTCTTACTGACTAAAAATCACCCCGTTCCTACTCCTGCAGTTCGAGCCGGAGCCCCGGTAACCCGTTAGGTTCTCCGCGGCAATCCCGAGTTCTAAGGGCCAATTTCGATGGTACTCCTATTGGTAAATTTGGCTAATTCAGTTAGAATTTTGACAACAAGATAAACTCAATACAAAACGGTGGAACACGCCTGGCCCATCAGCAATCTATACACTCGAATCTTGAAAACTTTTAGGTTGTAGCTTATCCTTTCAATTAACACGATGGTGAGAAATAATTCCACACCTTAATGGTTATTATAAAAAAAACAGTTAGTGGTTATCTGACAAAGGATGAAGGATGGTTTCATTCGTGCGGAAACCTAAGCTTATAAAGATTAATTTGTGGATCACACAAAGTGTTGTTCCGTGCGGGAATCGAACCTGCGACACGTTGCACGGCAGCTGGTTGCCAAGCCACCGTACCAACCGTGCAGTCGAACTTGATGATGATGAGGCCACTTAAAGTAGAAGTTGATTAAAAATTGAGAATAGCTTTCAGTTCAATGTTGTTGTGTTCAATGTAAGAAATAAAATATCTGAACACTAATAAGGCGTTGTTTTGTGTGACTGGACTTAATTGTTCAATATAATAGACGTATGGTCAGTCGAACGGAGTACAGTTATGCAATTAACATATGACTTGAAGACACAATAACTTTACGAGGTATGCATATGATAATATGGCTTAGCTTAAAATAATTTAAATTTAAAACTAAGTTCCATGAGTAAGTTGGTAAGACTATATGTTTAAAATTAGCAGATATATTTTTACAGAATTATTTGAACAGTCTTGTAGTCTCCTCCCTTATAACTGTTGGTTTGCAAAAAATAGTTTATTTTCATATCTCTAAGCTGTACCAAGGAAAATTCAAATAAGTTGTTCATATTTGCGGTTTCTCAAAAATATTTTCAATCCCATTTGTAGATCAATCCTAACAAAATCCGACACAAAGTAAGTACTTACATGAAACCATTAAACACAAAGACTTACCCAACATCAGAGAGCTAAAGCATTTCTGAAATAAAATCGATGTCACTAATATCGATACAAGTATTTTTATCGATAAGTTTTTAAATCGCTTTGAGGTTATAACGACCATCGACATAAGATGGATTGAGTGGGGAAGTAGCATCGTATTTTAAAGCTCGCGTGTTGTGAACAAGCGTGGCGAAACGAATCTTCGCATACTATGTTACTGGGTAAAGAAGTGACCTAAAAACGTAGTCTAATCGATTGTTTCCAAGTTTTAATCGATTAATTTCTAACCTAAATCTTCAAACCCATCCCATGCAAGTATCAAGTTACAGGTAAATTAACATTCAACATGACATCTTACATCTAAATTAGTTGCTTCGTAGTTAACTGTTGTACCTAAGTTCCGAAGTAAATCCTATTGAGACTATTAAACTCAATAGTAACTGTCAAAGTCACAATTATGTCTACAGCACCCCAAGAGTAAGTTATGTAGTTATCAAATATGTAATCAAACAATTAATCGATTGTATCGATATCGTAAACTGACTCGATAAAGTAGAAATCAATCGGTTAATCGTTACGATATTGAAATTTAAGGTGAGTAGAGTATCATTTGCTGATTAACCGATAAGGTGGAAATCAATCGTTTAGTCGATATTTAAATTTAAGATAAGTGATTAAGTGAAATATTAAATCGATACTACAAAACGTACACTCGGGACACAGGTGCTCAGTGGCTCTCCCATCGACAGGGATGAGTAATCTTGTTTGTCAGTCGTGCACAGCCGTCTTTAGACCTTTGCATGTATCACATTCTGTAAGTATAAAGCGTGGGGTGCGGTGTTAGTTCGGGCAAACAGAGGGAACGACGGCTTCGTTGACAGGACACGATCGTGTGTTATCCTTGGTAATAGCATATTACATCAGTTTTGAAATCTTTTAGTCTGTATTTTTATGGAATAAAAGCGAACGAGAAATGAGATCATCTGATGGTAAGCGTTTAACGCTGCCCGTAGACATTAGACACCAGAGGAGTAACCTGTGCGTTGCTAACTTTTTAAAAAGCATTGCGCTCATTTTGAAGTTTATTTTATCAGTTGCTTAGAATAAGACACGATGTTGTCCCGAAAACGAGCAGCCCACTGTCTGCCTTTACTGTTGGCTCGGCTGTGTGTATACGAACATGTTTTTACCTTAGTCCTGGTCGGATTAGTTGAAGTTAAAGGCGCGTAATATGTTCCATTAATTTTATAGAAGTCGCTCTGCAAAAGAAGAAATTTGACCTGAATTTACTTTGTTTGTTTCGGGTCAATGTTGAGTCGAGACTCAATGATCTTCTTACGGAGAACTTGGAATCGCGTAGGAGTGTTGTGTAATATTCATCTTGACACAATCTTGATACTTATAGCTAATACTCGTTAGTTTCAACAACGAATGATGGATCTAACTAAATATTTATTAACTCGAATGCTCTTGTTTATTTTGGAGCTTTTGAATAGTTACGAAATACATTTCTTTATTTAGCCAAACATACCTAATTGAATGGCTATTTTGTTCTCTTTTCTGTTGATTTAATTGTACTTTAGCTGCAGAGGTTTCCAGAAGGTTTGATTTTAACAGCCGTGTCAACCAGTTCATGCAAAAACTCGTGGCTTCCAGAAAAGTGTCGTTGTGGTTTAGTCTTGTTAGTATTTGTGCAGACCTATCCAATTGTCCTTCAATTATTACTTACTGGTTTAAAGTAATTTGCACTTTTGTGGATGAAATCCCTAACCTTATTTGTCTAGTGTGGATTTAAGACAGTTATAAATGTCTTGGCTCTAATAAACTTCTTTGTAGAGAAGCTTATTAAGGTTAAGTTGTATTTAAGAGGAAGGTGAACTAACCTCTTGATAGAAGACTCGTTTGGAGCTGTAGGTGAGGTTGTACTGCTGGTCTGCCACCATAAGCAGGATGGTGAAAGGCAGGAGGAATGCTGCAGCAGCGAGGAAAGCGATGCAGCGTCCTAGCCGCATCATACTGACGTTTCTACGACCTACCGCCATGTTAAAACTAAGTAACAATGAGTTTGATTCCAATTGTTTTAGCGCAATTCATTTGTTTCTTCTTGAGTTCACTGCGGTATCTGTAACAAAAAGAGTTTTGGATTAGATTGTATGTATAAATATACTAGATGTGCCCCGCGGCTTCATCCGCGTATAATAATGGCGTTGGCAGAATTTAGATTATTTTATTTGTCTTTTCCAAGGTTAATTCCAATGCTGCGTAATAAATCTCATTAGAATCGATTCAGTACCTAAGTTATTGTTATTGTGAAATAATTTATTTTCGTGATTTCAAAAAATAAACAATTGGCGTTTTACCGGTATAGTATCTGTTCTTAATATGCCTTTTACCGTGTTGCAAACCATTGTTGTACCGAATTCAAATCAAATAGGTACAACGGTTGAAAACTCTCAGGCGTCCTATTCCGGGTCTCAAATTATCGTTGTATCGAATTCTACCCAATTAAATTTAATGGCTTTAAAGATAGCTAGAGATATAGGATAGATGTTTAACGCAGTTCCCATTTTCAATTTTGTGAAAGTTTAATTGAGCGTTTAACAATTTTGAAGGCAACGAAAAATTTTTACTTTACTTTACTTTAATTAAAATTTTCCCACGGATCCCTTTTTGTCTGGTATTAAATAAAGCCTATGTTCATCAGCGGTCATGTCGTTCGTATCGATTCGTTTCGGTCGTGTTGGTTGTATCTGTCGTGTTTGTTGTGACGGTCGTATTTGTCGTATCTGTCTGTGTTGGTCGTGTTGGTTGTAGCTGTCGTGTCAGTCGTATTTGTCATGTCGGTCGCATTTGTCGTATCTGTCGTGTCGGTCGCATTTGTCGTATCTGTCGTGTCGGTCGCATTTGTCGTATCTGTCGTGTCCGTCGTATTTGTCGTGTCGGTCGCATTTGTCGTATCTGTCGTGTCGGTCGCATTTGTCGTACCTGTCGTGTCGGTCGCATTTGTCGTATTTGTCGTGTCGGTCGCATTTGTCGTATCTGTCGTGTCGGTCGCATTTGTCGTATTTGTTGTGTTGGTCGCATTTGTCGTGTCAGTCGTATCTGTCGTGTCAATCGTATTTGTCGTGTCGGTCGTATTTGTCGTGTCTGTCGCATTTGTCGTATCTGTCGTGTCAGTCGTATTTGTCGTGTCGGTCGTATTTGTCGTGTCTGTCGCATTTGTCGCATTTGTCGTATCTGTCGTGTCGGTCGCATTTGTCGTATCTGTCGTGTCGGTCGCATTTGTCGTGTCAATCGTATCTGTCGTGTCAGTCGCATTTGTCGTGTCGGTCGTATCTGTCGTGTCAGTCGTATCTGTCGTGTCGGTCGCATTTGTCGTATCTGTCGTGTCGGTCGTACTTGTCGTGTCGGTCACATTTGTCGTATCTGTCGTGTCGGTCGTATTTGTCGTATCTTTCGTCTGTCGTATCTGTCTGTGTCGGTCGTGTCGGTCGTGTTTGTCGTTTCGGTCGTGTCTGTTGAGTTACATCTGCAAAATGATGAGATGAAGAAAAAAGAAAAATCCCACAATTTATTATTTAGAAACAACCAATAGAGGAGAGAAACAACTAATCAAAACAAGTAATCAACCATGACTTCTCTGTGTTGTTATCTTCCTTCTTTCTTTTTGATTTTTTGATTTTTGAGGTTGATTACTTCGATTAATACAAATAGAAAATACATGAAAAAAAGCCGTTTAAATTGTTTCATACTGACCGGCAACTTTATAATATAAGGAGTATTTTTGTTTTTTTTCACATAACGGGTTATATCATCGAAATTTTCACACGGTTCCCTTTTATTTCTTCTAAATATAGCCTATATTCATAAGGGATAATGTAAGATTAAAACGGAAACAAAAATCAAGTCTGGTAGTTTCGGAGCCAACTGTTGCACTTTATACATTATTATTATCTGGTTGAGGTTTCCTAAGGTATACTTTTTTTATATGTAAAGATGTGGTCAAGAATTTAGATTTTAGGCTTTCAGTTCATAAGCGCTTTCCATCAAGCGCATTAGTTTCATGAATTACATTTCATTATGAATGGCCAATTTTATTATCTTTGGTAAAAATTGCATATTGATTGACTACTATTAACTTAGTTATTAAATGATTGTTTTGTAATTAAGTGTCGTGGTGGCCCGGAGGTTAGGACCCCCACTTCTCATGCATGAGGGTGCGGGTTCGTAACCTACCAACGGCAAGTACCAATGTGACTTTTTCCGATCCGATATGCACTTCCTAAGATTATTTAGACAACATTGGCAAACGGTGAAGAAAAACATCGTGTAGAAACTTGCATTTATAATTTCTAGTTAAAAGTTTGGAATCGCCAACCCGCAATGATTGGCATGGTGATTAATGCTCAAAACTTCTTCGTGTGAGAAGAGACTTTGCTCAGCAATGGGCACTTATAAGCTGTTGATAATGATGATGACGGACGAATTACTTGTAAACGAGTTGAATAATAGTGCATCTTGATAAACACTGGACGCAGAACTCATACCTTTCCCACTAAAACCTTAAATCAAATATTTGCGCATTCAAACATTTAACATGATAGGTAGAATTTCAATAAATCGGTACGATTTCACAGTACTTTAAATTACGATTTACGTTTTTCATGTTTAAAAAAAATTAGCACTTATAGTCACGAACACACACGTCGGTAAATGTAAAAAGTAAATCAACCACGAAGTGTGAAGTAAAATTATCTATTTGAAATTCGAAGCGCACGCGACTCTATTCGAGCTAGTTTATTATTTATCGATACTAATCGATCACTATCTCGATTCATGTCAAAGTTTAGATAATAATCGATAGACAGTAAACATACTACGGAAACTATATTTTATCGCCCGTCGTTAAAATTGTGTTTAATATCGTCAGTTAGGTAGTTTGTTAACGTTTCCTAATCTTTGAAGAATAATGATTTATGTTTTTTTTTTTCAAAGACGTAACTACCAAGAGTAGGTATTCAGATGCCTATCCATCTATAATAATAACAACATCATGTCTTCCAATTCCTAAAACATTTAATGTAGTTAAGAAAATATGTTATGGTATTTTCAATTCGGAGTCGCGGAGAACCTAACGGGTTACCGGGGCTCCGGCTCGACGTGCAGGAGAAGGAACGGGGTGGTTTTTAGTCTGTAAGAGTCTGACACTCCCTCCCACCTCACCCTCACACAGGCGGGAGCAGCCACTCGATGATTTTCCCTCTTAAAAAAAAGGTATTTCCAATGTAAAATCCAGTTTTCACTAGATATTTATCCTTGCCTAGTCTAGTCTAACATAATAGGGTATGAGCCTCATGTCGTCCGTATACTAAACAAAATTTCAAAACCGTCTAGACTACTGATATTATAGGAAAAAAAGCCGCAAAGAAGCCTATAATACTTGCCCATACCAAAAATTAAACCCGAGACCACATGCACGGCTATTGCGTAAGTGGCCACTCGACCAACGAAGCATTGTATACAGTAAAGTCTATTAAATCGAGTTCGAGTGTGCTCTTGACTTCAAAAACGTTGAGATACGAACGGTAAGTAAACACTAAATACATTTGTCTATTTGAACGGACCAAACTGCCCAATTATCACTTCCTTACAAAATATTAATGTTTCATTACTATTTCATATTTACACACTAAAAACCACAATATCTTAAGTACTTACGTAGGAATCTTTTGAGGGACTTCTGTTATTGACAAATATGTCAACTAGACATGTTAGTACTTAGTAATGCCGATAATAATGTTCTGTTTGTTGATGAGGTCTTGTAAACTGCCTTATTGAAGGAACTGACTAATGGTACCCTAACTTTATATTAATTTATAAACTAGCGACCCGCCCCGGCTTCAATTTGCATGTATTATATATGTATAATACATGCATATTGCACCCGTGCCATATAAAGCTTCCTTAAGAATCGCTCTACCTCATAAAAACCGCATCAAAAGTTTAGTAGTTTTAAAGATCTATGTGTACATAGGGACAAACAGATGGTGGATAGCGACTTTGTTTTATACTATGTAGTTACAGTACTTATAACTCGAAATCGGCTAAATCTATTTGATTTGAAAAATTGGTGAGGAGGTAGCTTAGAACCAAGAGATGGATATAGGATACTTTTTATCCAAGGATTTTCCGGAAAATCTTACAGGAACGGGAACTAATAGGATTGCGCGTATAGTAGAGGGATGGAGCTAGTCAACGACTAAAGTATTCCAGTCAACTTAACTTCTTAACCGTAATTCGGTAATTCCTGTCTCGATTCCTTTAAAGCCGTTGTCAAGTAGTTTTTTTTTGTTACAAGGCTGTATAGAAAACAGCGCAAATCGCACTCCAATACCAACGTAACGTAAAAGACAAACGATAAAAGGTACAAATACACTTTCACATCTATAATATTATCAAATAATGATTTAAGAAATCTCTGTCTAAACTCAGTGATAAGGGTCCCTTATTTACGGAGCCGCGGAAGACTTAACGCGTTGCCGGGACTCCGGCTCGAAGTGCAGGAGTATCCTACTCCGTTGCTACGGGATGGTTTTTAGTCAGTAAGATTCTGACACTCCCTCTTGCCTCACCCGGGCGGGAAAAGTCATTGGATGATTTTCCCCCCTTAAGAAAGGGTTCCTTATTGTGGTACGAATCTAATTCGAATAATTTATGTCTGTTGTACCTGTATGTAGCAATATAGGTAATTAGAGATAGGTATGTGCTAATGTACTGTTTCATTGACAGTAGAGATGTGGGTGAGCCAAATAAAACTGTCACAGTTCTAAATTTAGATAATCACCACATCACCACGGATGTTGGTCATTGAATAAGTACCGCTCTTTTCATTATGAAGCGGCCATTTTGCTTCTTATGTCACGTGGAATGTAATTTTAAAATCGGTCTGCATAGACCAGAGGCCTCAGTATGAGTTTATGCTTTACGTTAAAAGTAATCGATTCTTTGAGTGCACGTTTGGCTCAGTGATGGGCAACCGGCTGCTGAGCAACGTGTAGCGGGTTCGATTTCCGCACAGAGCAATAATTTGTGTGATCCACAAATTATTGTTCCCGGTCTGGG